AGTCTGCAACGTAACCATTACACCATCTGCTGGTCCTTCCTGGCTATCTCCAAACACCTCACTTGATAGTCCAGCTCTTAACCTATCAGGTTCCTACATCCTTTGCCAGTCTTTGTTCCTGCTACTCTCCAAATCTCTCTTCACTACACTCTGACCAGGGTAGACAGTGGTCCTGGAACTTACTTTGCACTTCCCCACTAAGTCCAGAAAAAAGTCCTATCCAGTTGTCAGGCCCAGCTCAAACTTTCCTCCACTATCTCACCCTTTATTGCTACTAAGTGTACATAGGATTTTGCATGAGTGTTCTTTGCAATGAGAGGCTGGTGGTGAACTGCTTTTTGGTACACAAGTAGTGGTGTGGTGTAGAATAATTTTTTTGTCATAGGGTGCATGTGCTCACTAGAGGGAGATACAGTGAGAGAAAGAAAGTGAAAAATCACCCCCCAGGAGGGATGGCCACGCTACAATCCTTTCTTCTCTTTTCTCGTCTCAGGATTTTGGGCATGCACGCATATGCCCCTGGCATGTTTTTCAAACTGCCATGTCCAGGACTTCAACTGCACACTTGGCTATGTGGGATCCAGAGCCTCAACTACCACACTACCTGCTAGCTCCTGGTGTAGGAATTTTAAATTTACAAAACAAAATCTGTTAAGTTACAAGGGAAGAAATTTTAACTTTATTGATGGAGAAAGGATCAATAAGAATATTCTTTTTCATCACCAAAATAGCGATGTTTGAATATATTTCAAAGTAGTAATACAAAGTTTTCTTTATTTTTATGGTAACTTATGAGATCTGGAGCCTAGACTGCTCATCACTCGTATAATCCTCAGAATCTTGATCTGGAAAGAAACTTGTCTCTGAGACCTTGTGCCGTGATAAGATCCAGAAATGAGAACAGTGAAGTTCTCCTCTGGGGCTTCAGGCAACAAAGGCCTTGTTTTAACTTAGATTCTTTTTTTTTTTTTTCAAGAGATATTTTTGCTAAAGGGTGTGTGTACTTGTCATAGAGGCAGAGAGAGACAGAAAGGGAGAAATCTTCCCCTGGAGGGAGGGCCACGCTGCAATCCGTTCTCTTCTACTTTCCTCTCAGGATCTTGGGCATGCACACATACCTATGAGTTTTAAGACACCGGGTCTGGTACTCAAACTGTGGTCGACTACGTAGGAGCCCAGCGACGTTACTGTTATGCCATCTGCTGGTCCCTTAGCTTAGATTCTTGATGTTAACACAGCAGATTCCCTGAGTCCCCAGACTCTTACTTGTTCTACCTACTGCATCATCCAGCCTAGTAAGGACTGTATCTTACACTCTTGTCATTCTTCTGGTGAGGGCCCAGCACAATGCCTTTTGCATAGTGGGTCATCAAGAATTCCTGTTTATGAGGATGTAGAAATGGCTTGAGAGAAAGTGACTTTACCTATGTGTGGAAAATCTTTATTTTCTTTAAACAACGCATCTTAGTGGAAGTCATACTCAGGGACTTTTTTTTTAAGAATTTAAATTTTTTTAAGAATTTAATTTTATTTTAGTTTTTTGAAGTTGACCAGAGAGACAGAGAGAAAGAGAGAGAGAGAGAGAAGGAAAGTGAGAAAGCAAACTGCCAGGTCTGGGACTTGAACCGCAGTCAGCCATTTGGGAGGCCAGCTGCCCCAAACACCACACCACCTGCTGGCCTTCAGGGAATTTTTTTTTTTTTTTGAGAGGTTTTTGCTACAGGGCACGTGCGCTCTCCAGAAAGAGAAAGAGAGACAGAAAGCGAGAAATCACCCCCTAGGGCGAATGGCCACGCCACAATCCCTTCTCCTCCATTCTCCTCTCAGGATCTTGGGCACGCACACACACGCGCCTGGCATGAGTTTAAGCCACGGGGTCTAGGACTCGAAACATGGTCTACTACATGGGAGTCCACAACATAGCCATTATACCAACTGCTGGTCCCAGGAATATTTCTTATCATACACCCCTGGATGCAGGGCTCCAGCTGCCTTCACTTACGCTCCCAGCTGGATTCTCTCAGCAGTCCCACCTGTAGGTGTGGCCCTACACATAAGCATGTGCCTCCTTGTGTTTGGTACAATCTGAGAAACTCTCAAAAGCTTGTTTATATAAAATATCCTTTAAATATTTTCCCATTGCCCTAAAGAGCTGCCTCCAAATTTTACCATTACTTAATTTTTGGATTAAATAAAGACCCTGTTACTTGGGCCAGCCCTATATATCTCCTAGTGGTAAGGGAGCTGGATCCTACATGGCTTACCACAGTGTGAATTCCACTTTATTGGGTTACTTGAAAAACATGTTGGGCAGGACCAGCAGTTAGCGTAATGGCTATGTCGCTGGACTCCCACGTAGTCGATCTCGGTTCGCGTCCCAGACCTGGTGGCTTATAACTCATGCCGGGCACGTGTGCGTGCGTGCGTGCCCAAGATCCTGAGAGGGGAACGGAGGAGAAGGGATTGCGGCATGGCCACCCCCCGGGGGGATGATTTCTCGCTGGGCATGCGTGCATGTGTGCCTCAAATCCTGACAGGATGGAGAAATGGAGGAAAAAAGATTGCAGTGTGACCACATCTCACTGGAAGGTTCTCTCTCCATCTCTTTTCATTTTCTCTGGTGAGTGCACACAATTTTAACAATAATACTTTTTGTTTTTTTAGTTTTTGTTTGTTTGCCACAGGGCACATACACTCTCAGGAGAAAGATAGAGACACAGAGAGGGAAAGTGAGAAATCACCCACCAGGGGGTGACCATACTGTAATCCCTTCTCCTGCGATTTTGGGCACACTCTCACATGAACTTGGTGTGATTTTTAAAAAATGACTTAATTTGATTTACTATTATTTTTTAAATTTCCTATAGGGAATACTAGAGAGAGACAGAGAGGAAGAGAGAGGGAGGGAAAATGAGAAAGCAAGCTGCCAGGTGTGGGACTCGAACTACTGTTGGCCATGTGGGAGTGCAGTGCCTTGACCACCACACACTTGCTGGCTCACCAGTGTGCTTTTCAAGCCTCTGGATCTGGGACTGGAACCATGGCCGGCCATAGGGGAATACAGATCCTCAACTACCACGCTACCTGCTAGCCCCCTAAATAATTTTTTAAAAGACCCTGTTATTAGGGAGAAAATAATGGATTAAGTTATAATCACCTAATGACACGTTGTCTCTGATTAGTTTATTTGACAGATCTCTCATTGCTCTGAACTCCCATAGCATATAGGATGTATCTTTTATCATTGCACTCGCTGCAGTGTATTTAAAACTCTCTTCCTAATTAGTTCAGGCTATTGTGAGTTGTCTCAAGCTACTCCAGCACCTGCTATGATGCCTGCTTGGGGCATGTGGGGGGGGTATTCAAAAAGTTCACGGAAAATGCGTACTGTGATGAGTTTCAAACATTTTTTGCACTAAAATAAACTCATTTTAATTCCATTCTCCACAAACTCTTTGAAGTCCCCTCAGAATGGGCCCTTAAAAATATTGTTGAATTTGGGACCAGCAGATGGTGTAATGGCTATGTCACTGACTCCCACGTAGTCGACTGCAGTTCAAGTCCTGGACCCAGTGGCTTAAGCTCACTCCAGGCATGTGTGCATGCATGCCCAGAATCCCAAGAGGAGAATGGAGGAGAAGGGATTGTGATGTGGCCACCTCCCCCTGAGTGGGGCGTGTGATTTCTCATTTTCTGTCTCTGTCTCGCTGGCTGGCAAGTGCATGCGCCCTATAGCAAAAATCTCTCTCTCTATATATATGTGTGTGTGTGTGTGTGTGTGTGTGTGTACACTCTCTCTATATATAGTTGAACTAAGGCAGCCTATTCCTAAGGCAAGCCCTGGAGAATTATGAAAAAGGGAGCCAAGAGGTGCAGAGTCTTGTGATAAGGAAGTATTCCATGAATGCCCTGCTTAATTAGCTTCTGAAAGGAATGAAGGACCAGCAAAATCAAACTTACTCTTCATAATGTGGTTAAAATTGACTTATGGTTTACCTCTGCAGATGAGTAGGCTCTGGTGCTACTGAGAATTGTCCTTGGTATTTAAAAGCACATCAGGGACAGACCCAACCCTAGCTTCATACTCTGTCTTCCATCCAAAAGGGACTGAGCTTGTTTCTTGAGGAAAGGTTCTGTATCATATACATTTTTGTGTTCTTACAGGTCTCGCACCGGGTCTGGCACATCATAGGAATTGCAAAATAGCAGCTAACAATTACACAGTGCCTACCATAAGCCAAATGCCCCTCTGAGCATTTTGTCTGTATTAATTCGTTTAATCCTCAAAACAACACCAAGAGACAGATAATACTGTTACCATCTCCATTTGACCAAAGAGGAAACCAATGCACACAGGAGTCCACTATGTTCGTGATTTGCCTAAAGTCACATAGTTCTATGCTTTTAAATACTATGCTTTAGTGCATTTACATGAAAGTAAAATATTTATAGCAGACTGTTAGCACCTCCTGGTACAAAGCTATCGCACCGTCCCTCCCACCAGACTGTCCCTAACACAGAGCCTTTCGTGTTTTCCATCCACCCTCAGTGCTCACCGAAGTACGACCCGCCACGCCACGGCAAGGCTATCATGCGTACCTATAGCCACCAGGGGGCACTATGGCCACACGTCTTCTCTCCCTCCCCACCAGGGCTTCGTGACCGGAGGGAGGCGGAGCCAGCATTGGGCGGAGCCCTCAAGGCGCCCACGGGGGAGCTATCCCGGCGGGCCGCGCGCGGAGCCGCGTTTGAATGGCCCTGAGTGGGGCCGGGCCGGCAGCGGACCGACGCTCTAGGCTGCCGGGAGACGTTTGTCAGCGCCAGGGCTGGGCTGAGGCGCCGAGGTACCATGAGGCGCCGGTAAGTGAGCGCCGAGCCGGTGCGAGC